AAAAAAAAAAAAAAAAACCAAATGTGGAGCCCTGGGCTATGATGGCTGCGTGCAGGGTAAGTAAAATAAAAAATAAAAGTCCAATAAATAATACATCTCTTTTATGGAATTGGAATTGACCGCCACTGGCACGGTGTTATATATTAGTATCCAGACTGCCCTCCTTCAAGTCAATGGATATCATCTTTCCTATTCTACCTTTCACAACACTCCCAGGAGACTGCCCTATCGCTCGAGGAAGCTTGTTGGTTGTCGATCCTTGTCTTCTCTTCTAGGAGTGATATCATCACCTCTTATATATACATCATTATAGCACCCTTCCTTCTCTCCCTCTCCCCCCTCCTTTCCTCTCTCCTAGGGGAACGTTCTTCTTATCAATTCCTCCTATCTATCTCGACTTATCTCCACAATGCCTCGCTTTGACGACGCTGACTTCGCTGTTGATGCCGCCCCTGCGGCTCCCGGTACTGCTCCGGCCCCCGCTGCTCGCTCCCCCAGAGATGGTCGTGGCAGCATGGCGGGTTCTCTGCCCATCCCCAATGATGCGGGTGCCACCATTGAGATCCCCGCAACCCGCAGCTCCATCAGCGATGCTGCCCAGTACATGCACAACCTGAGCCTGGCTCCCTCGACTCGGGACCGTCGTGGCTCTCGCAACTCCTTCGGCACCTCCCTCCCTATCCCCAGATCTCCTCGTGTGTCTCGTCTGGCATCCGTGGTTACCGCTGATGGTAACTCGGTTTCCCGCGACCTCCTGGCCTCTCAGGTTCAGGACATGTCCAAGGAGAAGGTCGCTGCTGCCAAGAACATGGCCTTTGCCTTCGATATCGATGGTGTTCTGGCCCACGGTAACCATGCCATTGAGCCGGCTAAGGAGGCCCTGAAGATGCTTAACGGTGACAACGAGCTGGGCATCAAGGTTCCTTACATTCTGCTCACCAACGGTGGTGGTAAGACCGAGGCTGCCCGTTGCGAGCAGCTCACCGAGGTTCTCGGTGTTCCGATCTCGACCGATCAGTTCATCCAGTCTCATACCCCAATGCAGGCATTGGCTGAGTACTACGAGACGGTGCTTGTCCTCGGTGGTGAGGGCCAGAAGATCCGTGAGGTCGCTGAGAACTATGGCTTCAAGAACGTCGTCCACCCTAAGGACATTTTCGCCTGGGACCCCACGGTGTCTCCTTGGGGACACTTCACGGAGGAAGACCGCGCTCAGGCCAAGCCCCGCGACTTCTCCAAGATGAAGTTCGACGCTATCCTGGTCTTCGCCGACTCGCGTGACTACGCTACCGACATGCAGCTGATCCTGGATCTCTTGCTCGCCGAGGACGGCAAGTTGTTGACCCGTGCCAAGGACCCCGTCGCCTCTCGCATCCCCATCTACTTCTCTCAGGGTGACCTGATCATGCCTACCGACCACAAGGGACCTCCCCGTCTCACCCAGGGTCTCTTCCGTATCTCCATCGAGGCTCAGTACAAGGCTCTCACCGGTGTCGACCTGGAGCGTGTCGTCTACGGCAAGCCTGAGCGTGCTACCTACACCTACGCCGACGAGGTTCTCAAGTCGTGGATGGAGCAGATCCACAACGAGAACCGTCTTCCCCAGAACATCTACATGGTTGGTGACAACCCAGCTTCCGACATCTGCGGTGGTAACATGTACGGCTGGAACACCTGTTTGGTCCGCACCGGTGTCTTCCAGGGTGGTGACAACGACACCAACAACCCTGCCAACTTCGGTGTCTTCCCCAACGTCTTGGAGGCCGTCAAGGCTGCCGTCCGCAAGGAGCTTGGCCAGGATTTCAAGTTCAAGTGGAACCCCAAGGTTAACCCCGTCACTGGCGGTGACAGCGGCTCCGCTGTCGAATAAACGACGATCATGCCCAAAACTTAAAAAGAGGAACAAGGAACTCACGTTTCACTGGCGTTTGGTTGATTCCTTTTGAATTTCTTTTATCTACTATATTTCCTCTTCTCCCATTTTGATGCTAGACAACAGCGTCTTTCACGGTCTTCTTCTTTTTTTTTTTTTTTTTTTTTTTTTGTTTTTTTTTTTTTTTTTTTTTTTTGATATCCATTTGTCACCATCTAGCCTGAAACCAGCAGTGCGATGGTTGATCAATTTTTGTTTCATTTCCTTACAATCTTCAATTTAGACTGGGTTATTTTTTTTTATGTGATGATGCAAGGGCATCAATGAACAAGTCTTGTTTCAAAACATCATATGGTTCAACTGGGTTTGGATACACGTATAGATTTCTTTGGCTTAGATTTTTTAGCATCAATTGAAGCGCCTGTGGCACAACCGCAAGCAAAACTCTGTTTCAAACTTCTTCTCGAGTCGTTGACGACATTCTGATGTAGTCGAACTTAATCCTTGACCCAATGTCTAGCAGTAGTTCCATCCATAGATCGAGAAGATACTCTTAACATTAATGCTAAACCTTTGGATACGCGTAATCCCATCCTCGTCCAGATTTCCATTCGAAAATAACCTGCTAGAAACGAATGTCCATCTTCTCGGCATCTAGATAGTAGAAAATAAAAACTCTGCCTCAAAGTTTTCATCGACGGGATAACCCGGCATATACCGATAAGCTAATGCATGGCATGTTTCGTCTTCGCTTAGAATCAACCTAACCACAGCCACACCCGAGAAGGTCCAAACATGCCTCCGAAGGATTCTCGGATATCTTTGCCATATCCCGTGTTCGGGTCGGCGTGGCTGGCCGGAAAAGACTAACTGGAAGAATTTTTTGTTGCAACTGGTAATAGGGTTGCATCGGGATCTTCGTGTATGCATGGATTTCAGATTTTATTTTGCCACGAGGGGGGAAGAATAACACTGATATGAGGAGTTTATTGTGAGTTAGGTTTTCAATACAAAGTTGGAAATACTGATTGTGTATGTATGTATGTTTGTGTATTTGTTCGTTCTTTCTGGTGTCGTGGGTTTGGCATCGGAGGTTTGGCTGGTTCGGATATTGGGTTCGGGTAATGTAGAGCTGCTGGAGAGATGGAAGGGCGTTGAATTGATATTGCCTTGTTTTTTGCATTTCTTTTAATTTTGGGGGAACTGATGAGATAATGTAGGATTTTGGGGGTTTATCTTTTTGGAAGAGTTGGTGAACTTCTACAGCTTTTGCTTCTAGTCAGTTATAAGTGAAAGCGATAACTTGTACCTCATTCCCAATCTTGATCCCCTCTGCTTCATATAGTAGTGTCGATCTGTCAGAAATTGCTTTACTCTGTATTATAGTACCATGTGTGTTGAATCAATTGACTCTAGGCCATTTATATGGAGAAGTATAATGTAAAGTCCCATTGGCAGCGATCCAATGCTCTATACATACGATACAGAAGCCGCCGGAAACCGCCCATCTGAACCTCAAGATAGAGCACATGCCAAACACTTGTCTAATTAAGCTCAAACGACTACAAAAAACCCTCTCAATGCAAAAGGGCACATACCTACACAACCAAAGTGGATCTCTTTCAAGCTACTAATTCCTTACACAACCGAATCTCATATCCCACAGGAAGCTTATCAAACCCACCATTCCCAAGCAGAGGTAGACAACCTAGGCACTAAGGACCTGCTGTTATCAGCTTAGACCCTCCAATTAGTGCCATGCAAGATAGCGATAACAAAACCTGAAATGGGTTAGCAAGATCAAACAAAAAGGTCACGATGGAGATCTTATCAATCTGGCGCCCCCACAGGCCTAATCTCGATCTGGGGATCAGCAGTGGGTAATGACATAAGTCCCGAATTTTCTCAATACATGACGTGCTTTCTTTGCGGTTCCTGAATGGTTGAGAGATGCCGGATCAGAGTTGAAGCAGGTTTGAAGCGATGAGCGAGAACTGGTGTTCTTGTGGGTATTTTGAAGGTTGCTCTCTGGGTACATGGAAGGCTTTGTAGGTTGGCTTGGTGCATGTAAACTGAGATTATTTGTTTTTTTTCTCTCTTGTTTTAAGGTTCGAGGATCCTGTTTTTATGGATCTTTGTATGTATGGATAGTTTCATTCTTCGAATGTTGTATTTCGTTGTTATCTTTGAGTCTGTATGAATCGTTTTTTACCTTGCAGTTGTGAAGAAAGAAGTATTATGAAGCGTGAGAATTGGTTTTTTGGTCTAGTGCATACCTGAATTACACAGCAGCCAGCAATTATAAACTGTAATTCCTCTTAGTTGTATTGGATCTTGCCATTTCGGCCACACATATGCTTTTTCTTCCACCATCACCATCCCACACCAAGTTATGCCTCTTTTGATCGACACAGTGTCAACAAGGGCCCAATTATACAGTGAGAACTCTGTTGCTACCTCGTCCAAGATTCGTCAACTAGTTGTTCAGCCCATGGCAAAGAGGTAGACAACTTTCGAGTTCCCGGAATTTCTAGTACATGTAGTGTGCAAGTAGTCTAGATAACTATTAGGGCTACACGTAGCATATCAAAGCATATTGACATACCAGTCTTACGCAAAAGGATGTATCTAGTGAACTTTCATACCCGAACTGATATCTTGAGAGTCCTTGTATAATTAGAGCAATAAATCAGTAAAGTAATCCTTGATACCTTCTTGCCCTGGCTATATGCACAGATCTTCCATAGCCTGAGTACACATCCAGGTAGTATCTGTGTCCAGGCCATCAGTAGATGTGAATGTGTTACCGTCTTTGGGTTTTAGAGATTCATACTTTCACGGAAGTTCAAATTGATACTCAAGTTGTCTCAACAACATTACTCTGGTGTCAGAATTTCTTTGATAAATGCCAGATTCAGGCATTGCAAACTACACACCGAACGATTCCCATTCACATCAATGAGATAATTAGTGCGAACTTCATAATTCCCTGGTGATATCCTATGAATATGACAATAACTCCATTTGGGAAGGCTGTCCGAACCTACCAAACAACGAGGTGAGCTCTATCTGGGAAGTTTGGTTTTTGACCAAGTCCGGATAAGTTCAGCAATAGATTGAGAACAAGGACACCGGGGAGAACGGCAGCCGTCAATGAGAGAAATTCTTCTGGTTCATACAGAGATAATTACCTAGTGAACTGGGAAAGAGTGCCGTTCAATTCGAGTAGTTACTTCTTGCATCATGGAGATGTCGATATCTACAACCAAGGCTTCAAGAAAGCCATGTCTTCCCAGTAACACTGTTACTACGTTTAAAATTTGGTATCTCAACAATTGAGCATTGTTGGCATAGGTATTTACCACTGAGCTTAGAGTTATTGAATTACTGAGAATCGAGACACTCTTAGGTCAAGCGTTCATCATGCAAGGACTCTACAAAGGAAACAAGAATTCAACATCCCGAAACAGGTTTCGCAAGCATTTCGGTCAATCCCGTCTACTTCATCTTGGAATGATGTGTAAGGTTTTGTTCTATTTCTTTAGTAACCCTTGGAGTGGGTGGCATATAAGGTACTTTACTAGTGGGTATCTTCATGTTTTTGCGTGCAGCCTTCTTGGGAAATTGGTGGTAAGTGCTTGACTGGTTCTCGAACGATCCTGGTTTGGTAGGTAGGCCTTGGATCTAATGCGTATGCGTAGTTCCTTGTTCGTCATAGACGGATATGTGAAGATATTGTTTCAACGTTGTCATGCATGGAGGCTCCGAAAAGGGTGCCAGTGGTGCTCGTCTATGAACAAACTATCTCGACCATCGAGTATAGTGAAACCGAAGACTGAACGGATGAACGTAGATACATAGAGTTAACTAGCGATGTTTCAAAGAAGCTGGAGATGTTCAATGACGCTTTTCAGAAAACTGGATCAGACAGTAGTGCAACGGGTGTCCTGATTTGGACAGAAGGATATTCATCATATGGACAATGGATAGCGAGACTGCACTTCTGCATCTTACTGACAGATTCATTCTCAACCCCTCGCTTTCAAAAGTTGCATCTATTTTGTTCTAAAGATGGCCTGGCAGGGTATCACTAGGATTAATTAGGGTATAGCTCGGTCGTCGCTCACTGTGCCTCAAACACTGTATCAAACCAAACTTCAGGTTTGGTGAGCGAATCCCGCTGCTCGGGAGCTCAGCTTAGCATGCCTGACATTCATAGAAACGCTGGGAGTTTCAAGGTTATCTAGAGGGGAAGCCCTGGCACTCTAGACCATTTTTAGGTTGGCTCAGACGATCTGGAAACATGAGCAGGCGATACCTTACGCAGACGCACTTCTACAGCCCTAGCTAAGCCCCTGGCTAGTCTAATATAGTGCCATGGGTGCAGCAGACGCCCACGATTCTATAGCAGAGAATGTAATCAGAAGAGGTGAATCACCCGAGTCATGGAGGTTGAACACGCAATTGTTTTATCCCGGGTAAAATTGATGCCAGTCTGGTTGTGCCATGGGACCTCGAGATGGTGTGATGGTGGATACGTCGTTCATAAGCACATGACACCTTGTAGATTGGGAATTTTAGCCAGCATTGGAGGACAGTCATTCCCCCAACTATGTGTCGTTCAGTGAAGCGAGGCCAGCATGCCAATACCTGCCAAGAAAGCCTGTCACATAGGTGCACTAGGGCGTTGAGGCTCCAGCGTGATACAGATGATGTAGGTCTCAGCCACACAGGGAAGGCCTCTGAGACGGTAGTGGAATCCGTGTTTCTTTCTCAGAGTCGTGACGGTGACACGGAGTCATGGAACCACCACTAAGAGGTGTAAAGGAGGGCTGGATTCCCAGAGCAAACAAGGGGTCTGGGCAAACAGCGGTGATCAACCCAATAGAAAGTGGAGGAGGTTAGGATTCCCAACAGCTAGGCGTACATGATCGGAACTCTTGGCAGCCTTGACTTAATATTGGACCATGGTCCAGCGTACATATACTATTCTCATCCACAGCCTCTCGTCCAAATTGTTTGGGTCAGATGTGTCAATCCACGGCCAGCAAGGGGCTAAAACGACCCGAAGGAGTCAGACGATAGTAACACTAGTATAGAAACCGCACTAAGTACGTTCCATTATCAATGATCTCAAATGGGTGGGGGGCAAGGCGGGTGGGATTCCTCCATGTTGACCGAGTCGGATGCTTTGGAAACTTGGGGTTTGTCAGCTTAACTAATGGAATGTCTGATTATAATTGTATTATTAAACTGTCAGTCCGATATGCCGGGGAACAGGGGAGACTGGTTTTGACTTGATGGCCGGGAGCTTTTCAAGCATTTCCCCTCATGGGGGGAATTGACCAATCCGAAGTCGATTAAACTGGGGACGACCAACAATGGAAGCGGAACTCTTCACCCTTGGGGGGTTCATAAGTAGGGAGACCACGGTTTAGCGAGATGACCAGTCTTGACGCTTGGGTCATGGAGAGAATTACGAGTATCAGTTGCAGCCCTTTCGCAGCTTAGCTCTCTCCGCACCGGTCACGGGACTCCGCCAAAGCCCTGGGCGGCCAATCACAGCCTAGGCATCGGAGTAACTGTTAGGTAAGGAAAATCTTCGCATTGAACGTGGCTGCATTTCTGGGGTATTTTTGCTTTTTGGCGACTGGGGACCAGATCACAAAGGTACTATTCATGGTTTTTGCAACTAGTTAGTTCAGTGGTACTACTCCGTATGGTTCTGATTATACAAACCCTCATTTCATGAGGGAAACTCAGGAATGTTGGGAATTAAATAAGATTAAATACAATAAAATAAATACTGATTGGATCTCTTGTGTCCTCCACCCCCCTTTTCAAGATCATGGCGATGCATTATGATACAATCCATGCCCAAAATCCATCCGTCGTGGTTCTTCATCCGTACCGGGTCACGGGGCCGGTCAGAAGGCGATTTTTCATTATGTCATAGAATTTCCGGGCGGCGATCCCGAAAAAAGTAATCTACCGCTTATTTGATTTAGTATTTGATCTCATTTCTTCTTAATTTATGATAGTCCAGACAGAGATCATCCATCTTTCTGAGTTGTCTCGTCCGAAAAAAAAAAAAAAAGAAAAATGGAGGAGGAGGAGGGGAAACCAATCTGCTGAGCTGGCGATCTCGTTGTCCTATCGAAATCGTATGAAATAGTATCATTAAGGAACCTGGTTGTTTTTTTCTCATCAGATAAAAAAAAACAAAAAAAGGTATAGTAAAATAATTCCGTGACAAGGATCTCCGGCACCAACGGCTTTCCTGGGCCAGAACTGCATCAGGAATCCCTCTCTTCGATTTTCTATACTTACTTACCTTTTATTCGATCTATTTTTAATAATAAGAGTACAGTAGAAAACATGATCGTTGGATTGCAATACCTTAATAGTACCTGTATGGAAATTTAGTTTACCTTTCCCGCGGATTCGCCGCATTCATCATTCAGTCATTCATTCTCCTTCACGCCTCTCTCTCTCTCTCTCTCTCTTTCATTTTTCCCATGGCTCCTCTTTTTTCTTGATATTTCCATTATTCATGGTTTTACCTATTAAATGCCATTTACTCCGCTGGTACGACTAAGATTTTTTTTTTCCCTTTGGAATCCCCGTTACGCCTTACTTAATGAAAATTTGACGTTTTTAATTGTCTTTTATCTTTAATCGTTTTTACTTTTGTTTTATTTTTTATTTTTTTTATTGTGTCTGCCACTCACTCCGTCCGGGTTTCTTTCCTGATTCCTCGTCAACCACTGATCTCACCATCATCCTCTCACCCTTCAACTTTCGACCCAGAAGCTCAACTCAGGAGATCTTTCTACAAATCAAAACGATCGTCACTACTCTGTGAGCCGATCAGCTAACGTCCACTGTGCTAAACGGATCCTTCTGCACCCATCAATAGTGTGTGCCCGCCTCTCGAGGGGGCGCGGCAGTCGTTCCATCCATAGCATTCTGTGACTAACAGCTTCACTTTTTCCTCTCTACTTCCTATAGTCTTGTCTTGTACCCCCCTCTGCCTTAATCTTAATCGTCCACCGGGAAAGTCTGTGTGGAATCCGGGGAAGGAAAAGCTTTTTTTCTTTTTTTCATTACCTGATCTTCGGATTTTTTTTTTTTGTGCACCCCCCCTGGTCTTCTTCCTTTTCCACCCCCCCTTCCCTTGTAATCTATCTCTCCGGGACTGTGCCCTACAAAGTTATATAGAGGCTTCCGCTATCCACCATGTCCTCCGCCGCAGTCCCTTCTGCGATCCGCACCAACAAGCCTCCCTCCATTGCACTTCCCTCTGCGTTTTCCGGAGAAACTTCCCCTTCCAATCTATCCCGCGACTCATCGCCTCACTCGTCCGAGTGTTCCTCGCCAGACGGTTCCAGATCGACCAGTCGCCGCCGTCCGTCGGTTGGTTCGATCAAAGAAGACGTTGACGGTATGTCACCACCGCGCGTTCCACTCGGTCGCTAGGACGTAAAGAACCGTCGCTGATCTGTTATTATGGTATTCCTATAGGCATTGCTCAGTCCTTCGTGGATACGCATATCGACCAGCCTTCCCAAGAACAGCCGAAGCCGAACCCGGTTGAGATGCAGCAAACTCCCGACTTTTGCTGCCCCTGTGGCGGCTTTCTCGGCTGGAAGCAGATTAGACTAGGTGGAAAGAGTCTCAGTAGGAGCTACAGCGATTTGCGGGCTCTCGGTAATATGCATGCCCGCGGCTGGGCCTGGGAAACGTCTCCGCCGCCTGTCAAAAATCCGCCACCTACTAAGACATTGCAGGTGGAACAGCCGAAACCGGCCGCTGGCTTGTCTCGTCTTGAGACCCTTCCCTCCGAAGTGCTCGGTAAGTGCTGACTCCCTCCTACTGCGGTGATACCGGTCTGCTAATGAACTGCTGTTAGACCAAATCATATCATGCTTGGCGTTGGACGTACCGCCAAACGGCTACACGCCGCGCAATGTGGACCTGATCTCGTGCTTGCTGGCCTCCCGGACGTTGCACGCAGCTACCCTCGCGGTGTTGTACAGAAACATGACCTTCCCGCACTCCGTCATCTTTTCGAAGGCGCTCAACCACATGTCTCATTATCCTGCGTTGGGCACGCTGGTTCGTCGCCTCGATTTCTCCCATTTCACCTCGGTGGGTTTGGGACGCACCAAGCAGATGAACGCCGAAATTCAGAACCTTACCTCCAAGACGCTGCTGAAATGTCTGGACCTGTTGCCGAACCTGAAGGAGTGTTTGTTGCAGGAGCATGTGGAAGGTGACCTCAGTGTGGAGGTGGTGCAGAAGCTGCTCTTCGGCCTTCCGAACCTCTTTGCCGTCGATTTCTGTGGCTGTTCGACCCAGTCCTTCTCGGCAGTTTTTCAGGAAGCATTGATGACCGGGCCTGGTCTGCCATCGGCGATGCCAAACCTGAGAAGGGTGTCGCTGCACGAGTGCAGCAGTCTTCCGGCGTCGGTTTTTGAGACACTCCTGCCCCGCTTGGTTAATCTGACTCACTTGGATGTTACTCACACGCAGATTAGTGAGGCGGCCCTGTTCGCGATCCCGAAAACGGCGAGAATCACCCACCTGAGCCTGTCTCGCTGTACTCGTCTGCAGGGATCAAGGGTAGTGGAGTTCTTGGCTACGCATCCGGCTGTGTGCGACTCGTTGGTTTCTTTGAACCTGATGACGGACCCTACGCGGAATCGACTTCTGGAAGAAGATGACGTCCATGCGCTCCTTCCAAAGCTACCCTCCACGCTTCGCTCCCTTAACATTGGGGGTGCGAAGGTCACCTCGGCCCACGCGCAAGTGCTGATCCCCTTGACCAAACATTTGGAAGAACTCGGTCTCGGTTCGGCCGAACTCTCGGCTCAGGACATTAACCTTTTCTTTAAGCCACCGCCGCGGGCGAACATGGACGTGGATGGATCAGCGGAAGTGAAAGAAGAGGATTGGGTTCCGCCGACGCTCTGCTATCTGGACCTCACCAAAGCTCCTCAGTTGTCGCTGGGAACCGTCTTCAACCCTAGCTCGTGCTTGCTGCTTTCACAGCAAAGCTATCCACTGCAGGTCATCGAGTTCCATGAGAAGCTTATCGCTCCTTTACGCGAGAGAACCAAGAATTCCCGGACTTCCCTCGGCTGGACCGTTCGTGAGCTCGGTCGACGGGGATGGTACGTCCGTGACCCGGCCTCTATGCCCCTTCAGATGCCTGATGACGGCTCTCGCTCCTGGAAAATGGGTGCTAGGTGGTGGGGAGCAAGAAAGATCCCCGTTGCCGTTGGGGAGGTCGGCGGTATCTACGGCCACTACATGTTCAAAAAATGAGGACATGTTGAGGACAGGAAACTAGGTTCATTACTGTCCAAATCTTCCATTGGATGAATGATTATACCCTACTATGTTACAAGTTTTGTTTGTTGGTGGCGCGCTTTGTTCATCTATTTCCTCTCCTATCATGGGCGCTTCTTGTTTGGCTATATCCGGGCAAATTGTACAGGGAAGCATGAGCGATCAAAAGTCGGTGGATTCGATGTTATGCCTCATGTTTAGCTTTTGCTTGAGTTGTCTGTCTGCATAGCGGGAGCGATGTTCTTCTGAGCGTTAGGATTTGTCTGAGTGTGGTCTTGTGTTTTGCGTATTTTCTGGTGTTTGCGATATCCCCATTCTTCTGGTTGCGTTTGGGTATGACTGGCTTTTGTTCGTTTGTTTTCTTGTTTGGCAAGGCGAAGGATGGCTGTTTCTGATATCACTGTATTCTGACCGCGTCGGTTCATAATGCATTCAGGTTATAAGTAGTAGTATTCTGTTTTTGAATCCGTGGAAGTAACCTTTGTAGTTGAGCGTAGGTAAATGCGTTGTCGATGGGGGGCAACTTAGGGTTAGAGGAAGGCGGACACTGGGTCACGTGTCGATGTGGTCATGTTCCAGGGTTTAACTGAACTTGTTGCGGAGCTTCAATTTCTCCGTGTGGCCTCTGTACATCTCTCTGTGTCTCTCTCCCACGCCAAAGTGGTCCCCTGTTTCGAAGGCCTTCGACCTTCCGCTCTCGGATTCTCCGTTGGGACTTCTTCCTCCCGATGGGTGGATCCCGATACGCCGCCCTGGACAGTGGACGCTGTCGAGTTCGAAGACGATGGCACCTCCGAGCGGGTCGGCGGCATACAAGAAGAAAGATGGCACCCTGACCATGTCCCAGGATTGCCAGTCGATCTCTTGGATCCCGGCGGCTGGTGGTGCGACGGGAACGATCACGCTGTCTGTTTCTCAGATCACGAGTGCGTACTATTTCACCCTACCTTTGCCTTAACGTTTGACATCTGAGGCAGTTTTGTCCACCGGAAGACTTCTTCTTTTTTTTTTATTGAAATGAGGCGGGACATGTTACTGACTGGCCGTGGATAGATCTACAACAGACTCCAGCAAGTAACCCAAAAGTCATGTTGAAGATTTTTGTCCTTCCCCCAAACGCACCAGATAATTCTCCCGAGCAGTACGTCTTCAACTTTACTGCTGGAGCCAACGCACGTGCGGAAGCGGACGCCATCAAAGATGCACTCAGCACGGCCATTCAGGCAGCAAAAACGGCTCAAGCTGCGCCGACACCGTCTCCTGCCCCTGGCGCGGGCGAAGGTATGTCAACGGCCATGGCGTTTGCAAGTGCCGTCTCGTCCAAGAGCACTTGGGATAACGACAAATGGCTAAAGGGGGATGTGGAGCTACAACAGTCATTACTTAAGTCGGATCCGAACCTGCAACGCATGTTCATGGAGTCGCTGCACACCAAGCCGGATTCCTTGACTGCGGGCCAATTCATGTCGCAGTTTTGGTCGACCCGTATTCATCTTCTGCGCGCTCATGCCATTGAACGGTCGCAGACAAGAGGTTCTTACAACGTGCTATCGACGCTGAAGCCGCGCGTGGAAGATAATGTGACCAAGTTAAATATCAGCAAAGAGCAGATCCAGTTGATTTTCAACCAGCACCCTCTCGTTAGGCGTGTGTATGATGAGAACGTACCCAAGTTGAGCGAGGCACAGTTTTGGTCCCGGTTCTTCCAGAGTCGATTGTTCAAGAAATTGCGCGGAGAGCGGCTCTCGGAGACTGATGCCACGGATGCCATTCTGGATAAGTACCTGCAGGCGGACGAGCACGGGAATTTTCCACGAGAGGCGCATGTTCCGCATTTTCTTAACCTGGAGGGAAATGAGCTGAACAATAGTCAGCGCCGGGGAAATCGACCTGATCTTGACATGAGATGGTCCGCACCAGACAAGGTGCCCATCATCCGAACTTTGAACAGCTTGAGTGAGAAGATCATGGCGAATGTCGCGCCGGCTGACGGTGATCCGCATGCACCAGTCGGTATGGATGAGGATACATATAACGAAATACAACTACGCGATCTGCGCGGTGATGAGGAGGCGGACCGCGTCCTCCTGAATATTCGAGACCAAAGCCGGTTTTTCTCCGCCCAAACCAAGGAAACCGAAGACGAACAAAACCGGCTGTTCGCCCAGCAAGATCCGGAAAAAATTCTAAGCGACCTACGCAGGGAAATTGAACAGAATCTACCTGATGATGGTACCGCACCACTAGGCAGGCTTGTCGAGCCGGACGAACTCGGCGACGAGGAGAAGGAAAACAACCAACAGCCTGGGACTAGAGCCAGTCTTCAGAAGTCTTCGGCTCAGATCATTGCCGCGATTCGAGATCGCCGAGCCCAGACAGATGTGTCCTCCAGTACTAGCACATATGGTCTGTCGAGCAGCCTCTACGACCGCTTAACCTTGACGCATGCTACTACGACGGAGTTCCTGCACCAGTTTTGGCAGGCGTTCTCGTCCGGTAACCCTGATCGTGCAGGAGAATTATCATCCTTGGTCGACTCGTTGAGTCGGGCCATGGAGCGAATTAAGGCAGTAACACAGGATGCAGAGGCAGAGCGACAGGTGGAAGTAGATCGGAAGAAGCGTCATGCGCGAGAGGTCATGGGGGCCACTGGCAAGAAGCCTCGACTCAATCTATCGAGCATACAAGGTGGCGAAAAGGCGGTCAACCAATTGATGGGGCCCACTATTCAAGCACTAGAAACAGCGCAGGCGAAGTATAAGGCCGCGTTGGCAGAAGAGATGAAGGAAGCATCCGCCCAATGATGTATAATATAGCACCCTTAGATGAATAACCAGTATCTTTGAAGTAATTCAAGCCACATATCAAGTCGTTAGCGATCAAATTGATTTAGTCATTGCAGCAGAAATTCTTAGTGTAAGCGGGAGAATTAAATCTGCGCATCATGCGGAGTACACACATGCATTTATACGTTAATTAGAGTTCCAATCGGCATGCCGACAAACCCCACAGAACCCGCAGCCTCGGCCCGGCCTCGAGCTTCAACGCAACGTGTTCACGCATCACACCTTCCTCTCCAACTCCTCTTTTATCTCCAATCACCCCAATTCTACACCACGACAACTCCCCTCCCACTATTCAAGAGGGGGTTCCACAAACCTCAATGCAAAAAACACCCCAGTAACGCCCATCACGAAACCCAATCCACAAAACCTCCAGAACCCGCCCCCCACTCGAACATTCGTCAAACCTTCACCCACCAAACCCAAAAACCGACCCAACCTATCCCCAAGAAACAAAGAAAAACAAAAGAAACAAGACACAGAGAGAGAAAATGCACACCTCCGGACTAACAAACACTCCCCTAACAAAAACCCTCCTCATCTACACTCTCGCCTCATCCATCGCCCTCTCCATCCTTGACATCAAACACTTCGCTCCGATCCACGTCTCCCCGCATTTCTGGCCCTACGGCCAATTCTGGCGCGCTCTGCTATGGCAAGTCGCGGGTTTCACCAATTCCACGGAGGCCTTGTTCGCCGCCATGCTGGTCTATCATTTACGGGTTGTTGAGCGCGCATGGGGAGCGAGGAAGTTGGCTGTATGTTTATTTCTTATCCCTACCTTGCTTTCTTTTTTTTTCCCTCACGCACATTCAAATCGGAATGAACAGTTGGAAGAAGAATTTCGGGGAATTGAAACAACAATAAAGTAAAGATGAAGCTAATTATGAATGAATCATAATAGACCTTCCTCCTAACAACATTCCCTTACACAACCTTCCTCCCACCCCTCCTTTTAACAATCCTCATCCGTCCGCTCTCACTCACAAAATTTAATTACCTGCCCTCCGGTCCAACGGCTACCATCTTCGCCTTACTGGCGCAATACCACCTCTCCATCCCGCATACATTCCGTTACCGGATCTCGACGTCTAGTTCCACGCCCGCTGATGACGACGCAACGGCACAGCCGACGGGGAAGTCCCTGACGTTGCTTTTCTCGGATAAGTCGACGACATATCTAGTCGCGGCCCAGTTGGCGCTGTCGCAGTTTCCTGGCATGGTGTTGCCGGCGGTTGTCGGGTGGTTTGTGGGGTTGGCGTGGCGGATGGAGATGTTGCCGGGTGTGAGTGCGCGGTGGAGAGTACCGGCTTGGGTTGTGGGGGAGAAGGAGAGGACGAGGAGGGTGGTAGTTGGACCTTCGGGTGGCGAGGAAAGGTATGAGGATTTGAGGAGGAGGTTGGAGGGTGAGGCGGCTGCTGCTGCGGCCGAGGCGAGTGGTTCTTCTTCTTCTGCGGGTCAGGGATCGGGGATTGGGTTGAGACAAGGGAGGAGGATTTGAGAGATGAATCATGAGTGCTTTTTTTTGAGGTGGTTTGGTTCTTAATGGGCGTTGGTTGTTGATGTTGAAACTATCAAGGTTTTCTTCAATTCCATTCTATATATCCCATTTATGTACTCAAACGCCTTCCGAACTCCGAGAAACATGATGTGCTGCAATGCTTTTAGGGTTACCGGCCACTCCGACTTCGTCGCATGTTATCCTTGCACTCGTTACAATACCATTTGACTGCATCGGTTAGCCCAGCTCCTTGTAGAGAGGCAAGATAAGTGCAAGCCACTTACCATTTTTCCCTGGTGGTTTCGTCAAGCCCACACAAGACAAGTGAAACCATTCGCGAGGACAGGCGTCGTTGTCGCATGCCACCATCTCACCAAAACTGATTTCGTTACAGTAACAATATCGCGGTTCTCCCTCTTCGTCTTCGTCGTCACCCTCATGATAGGACTCTTCCTCTTCTGAAACCGCCCTCGGCTGCACGACTGGCACACTGCCATTCTTCTTGTGCGATCGTTTAGCCGGTGCATTGTCCGTACTCCGTGTTGGTCGGGCCCGCGGCGCGGGCTCTGAGAATGCAGCCAGAACCGGAGTCGACGTCTTGGACGATCTACCCTTCGGTGCTGGTGGGTTTGGCGCCGGAGGAGCTGGGGTTTCACCAGGCTCAATTGATTCGGTGGGCTTTCCATCCGCGTCTTCACGTTTCGTACTGACGGGTGCTGATACCTTAATCGCAGCCGCTTCTGTAGTCTCGTTTTCCATTTCCCGACGCGTGTCCTGGTTCACCATGGCGACTGTCTCCATCTTCGGTGTATCCTTGGGTGTTGTTCTGGCTTCCGTGGTTTTATCTGCATCGTACATGTTAGTATGATGGGATTGAATGTGTCAAAATCAAAGGACATTGACCTAGATGTCCGGCGAACATACTATTATTAGCCACACGGTTCGACGCCGAAGATGATGGTCTTTGGCGTCCATTTGCCGTTTGGGTGGAATTCTGTTGAGTGCGAGAAGACTGCGGTCGGGTCGCCGCATTAGGCCCAGGGCTTGCTGCGCTCCTCGGAACGGTGGCCGCCCCAACCAGAGGGGATGGTGCCAGAACAGGAGAATTTGCGGCAGACGCAGCAGTGTTGTTTCTAAGTGATCTAGTCAGCCCATCGGAAGCTCAGGAAAGCCCCAAAACAACGAAATAAGGGGCATACCTCTTTCGTGCACCGGCTGCATTCGCATTAGGTGCCCGAGACCTTTTCTTGGTAGCATCTGCGGCATCCTTTGACCCAGCACGACCAGAAGCCCCAGCACCACTTGCAGACCGTTCCATCGCAGCCCCAGTATCCACGGCTGGCGGCCGCTCGACTTTGCGTCGCTTCGTCTGTCCCGATGGACCAGCTTGACCATGACCGACTGCAGAGGCATCATTCGCAGCAGCGCCTCGTGCTTTGCCTGATTGTCCCTTACGGCCGCTGGCGCGCGCGTCGTCAAAATCAGAATCGGCATGCGTCCGACGCTGCTTACGTGCCAGAACAGCTTCACGTCTCACTTCACTCCTCGAAGCAACTTCTGCTTCGTGAAGAGCGTGGGCTAAATCTTTATTAGATGCAACTTCCCGGCGAGGCCGCTCGTTGGTGGTGGTCTTAACAGCGTTCCTGTTTGAATATGCCCAGTGTGTGAGGCTACCCAAGCGTGCCTCGTCGCTGATCTCGCCAGCGATGAAGGGGAAAATGGTATCGAGGCGAAGAAGCTGACGATCTAGCTCATCGTTCGCATTGGAAATAACGTGGTTCTTCTCGTCTGCAGTCATCATAAGGTCTTGGAGGGTCTGCCGTACTCGACCAAGCAGATAACGCCGGTTCGAGCTCTCCTGAGGTTCAACCGCTTGCGGAGCACCCTGTACATTAGGCACGCATCTTAGTATACAGTTTCTGCGTGTATCTACTGCCCGCGAAAACTCTTGCATGGGCTTACCGTAGCCAGATCTTCTTGCGGCACACCAGCATTGTCAGGTGCTTGCGTCAAAGGGGGGGCTGCTTGTAACTCTGATGAGGCCTTCAGTAGCTGCTGGAGGTTATCCTCAAGAGCCCACGCTTTAGCATCGACCTCTTTCAGCAGGGAATTGTGACGGCGAAACTCTCGGGGGAGGGCGGTGATGGCGTCGGTGAAATGTGTGAGAGCGGGGTAGAAGCCATGGGCAACAGGCGGAGTAGGAGGCGTGTCAGTCAATGAGCCATGCCCATATGCAAAGGAAGATCGTCCAAGGGTCTTAGAAGTTCTTGATGGATTAGTCCGTGTCTGGCGCACCGACTGCCGGGGGTTGACTGCCGACGATGAGACGGCGGAAGACATTGTGGTAGCGTGTAAGGGACACAGCACCAAAGACCCCAATCAATCAGGGAATAGGCAATCACCGATGACGACCCGCCAGTGACGCGATCGCTGGGGCATGGACAGGCGAGGGACGAGACGACGAAGTCCTCCAAGTGCGGAGAACGGCAGAATCGCTTTCCCTTTTGGGTCAGCGTCAGGTGATTGGTGCCTGTGGATAACCTAAGGCTCACAAGCACTGCTGATTAACCATAGCCTATGCTCTGACGTCATCACAACAACCCTAACTCAGACCTCTCGTACACATACGTTTACCACCAGTAGTAACTAGTATTACGAACCAACACTTGTAGAAAAGAAAAAAAAAAGTAAATTGTATATCAAATCTTTAATTTACATGCACACACAAAAGACACTTGCTAGGTATAAACAGGCTGGACCATGTAACATGTGTCAGAAATCAGAAATCTAACGTTCCAACACAAATACGTCTGTAGATTAGGATGTTGTCAACAAAGGAAATCGTACAAAGGAGACTAAAGCGAGTGTTCGCTGCCTCAATTCTCTGAAGACAAGGCACCTAGTACAGGCTAATATATCCCTTGCTCTAAATTATCCACAAGCTTACTCACCCTTCAACCGCTCCTGGTGAACGGAGAAGGCCTCCTCGAGGAATTCCTGTTCTTCCTTGAGGTGGACACTCTTGAGACCAGTGGCCACGGATGCACTGGGCGAACGACCAGCGTAGAGAACGTGACGACGGTTGTGGTGCTCGGTCTCGTTCAGCAGAGTCTCAATGCGAGGCTGGGTGTAGCTCCAGGCACCCGCATTCAGAGGCTCTTCCTGAGCCCAGACAATGTTACGGGCGTTGGGGTAGCTGTCGAGGTTCTCCTTGAGCTGTGCCCAAGGGAAGGGGTGGAGCTGCTCGATACGAGTGATAGCAGTGTTGCGGATGCCATTAGCCTCACGGTGCTTCAGCAAGGAAGCGTAAACTTGTCCAGAGCACAGGATGACACGCTCAATCTTCTCAGGCTCATCAATGGCAGAGCCATGAGCGGGGTCAGGGATGATACACTGGAAGTGAGAGTCGCCCGAAAAGGCCTCAATATCAGAGCGGGCAATCGGATGACGGAGGAGTGCCTTCGAGAAGAAAATCACAAGAGCTGAGAATGAAAATTAGTATACTTCATGTAGAATAGAGGGAAGTTACATACGCTTGCGGAACTGGCGGTGGATCTGGCGACGCAGGATGTGGAACAGGTTAGCAGGCTCAGTCATGTACGCAATCTGCATGTTGCAGTCTTGGTGCTGGCGGTCAAGCTTGTCCTGAGAGGGGAAGATACGAGGTTCCTCGTTACAGAGCTGCAACCAGCGCTCCATTCTGCCGGAGGAGTGCTCTGGGCCCTGGCCATCGTAACCGTGGGGCAGGGAGACAACAAGACCGGAGCGTTGCAACCACTTGGATTCTCCGGAGGCAATGAACTGGTCAATAATGCACTGAGCGTTGTTGGCAAAGTCACCAAACTGCGCTTCCCACATAACGAGGGCGTTAGGGGAGGTTAAGGAGTAACCGTATTCGAAGCCAAGGGCTCCGAATTCGCTCAGAGAGGAGTTAGAGATAACGAAGCTGCCCTGATCCTCAGAAATGTGCTGCAGAGGGGTATAGGTGTTCTCGTTCTCCTGGTCATGCAGAACGGCATGGCGCTGGGAGAAAGTACCACGCTCAACATCCTGACCGGAGACACGGACATGGTAGCCTTCCGAAACGAGGGAGCCGAAAGCAAGAGCCTCGGCAGTGGCCCAGTCGATGTTCTTGCCCTCATCCACGGCCTTCTTGCGGTTGGACAAAATACGCTTGAGGTTACGGTGCAGAGTAAAGCCTTCGGGAGCACCGCTAACCTTGTCAGCAACGTGCTTCAGAAGAGGACCCTCAACACCGGTGGGGAGGTGAGGCAGAACCTCGGTGGCCAACTCCTTAGGGGTTTTGAATCCGTTCCATGCGGAGGTCAGCCATTCCTTGCCAGTAGGCTGGTAGTCCTTGCTACGGTCAAAGCTGTCGTTAAGCATTCCCCAGACCCATTTCTTGTGCTCATCGATGTCCTCCTTAGTGAAGGTACCCTCGGTGATCAACTTCTCGACATACTTGTCAAGCTGATTCTTCTGAGCGGCAATACGCTTGTACATCAAGGGCTGAGTGAAAGACGGCTGGTCGGTCTCGTTGTGACCCTGCTTACGGTAGCAGACAATGTCAATGACGACATCGCTCTTGAACTCCGCACGCCAGTCTGCGGCGACCTGGCAGACATAGTTCACGGCCTCAACGTCATCACCGTTGACGTGGAAAACAGGGGCATCAATCGACTTAGCGATATCCGAGCAGTAGGGGGTGGAACGGGAATAACGAGGATCGGTAGTGAAACCAATCTGATTGTTCACGATGATGTGAATGGTACCGCCAGTGGAGTAAGCAGGCAGGGAGTGGAAGCCCATGGTCTCGTACACGACACCCTGGCCAGCAAACGCCGCATCACCGTGCAGCAACACACCCATAGCAGAGTCGAAATTCTTCTCATCCTTGTTGTAGTGCTGGATAGAGCGGGTCTTTCCGAGAACGACGGGGTCTTCGGCTTCCAAGTGGGAGGGGTTGGCAACCAGAGACAATTGGACGCGCTTACCGGAGGGAGTAGGGCGTTCGAAGTTCATACCCAAGTGGTACTTGACATCGCCAGAGCCTTCATCGGAGGGCTCAGCGGAGCCAGAGAACTCACTGAAGATGGACTCGTTCGGCTTACGGACAACGTTGGACAGGACATTGAGACGGCCACGGTGGGGCATACCGATGACGATGTCCTTGATACCGTAGTCAACGCTACGGTCAATCAAGGCCTTCATACCAGGGACGAGCGATTCACAGCCCTCGAGACCGAAACGCTTGTCGTTGGGGAATTTGGTGGCAAGGAAGGATTCAAAGCTGTGACTCCAAATAAGACGGTCGAGAATGCGGCGCTTGTCATCAACAGAGTACTTGTAAGGCTCGGGGATCTCAAAGCGGTCACGGATCCAGTCGCAAGGCTTGCGATCAGGGATATGGATGTACTCCACACCGTAAGAGCCACAGTAAATACTCTCACAGGTGGCGATGATTTCGCGCAAGGTCATCTTCTTACGGCTCTCGGTAGCGAACCGCGGCAGAATGCCGGGGCCAAGGGTAAACTCCTCATCCAGATCGCGCTCGGTGAATCCATAATGATCAAGCTCGAGTTCCTTGGGCTTGTTGTAGCCAAAGGCCTCAGCCTCACCACGGATGCCCAGAGGGTCGATCTTAGCCTTGTGGTGACCGCGAGCCTGGTAGGCGCGAACGAGTAGCTGAACCTTCAAGTGATTGGTGACGTCGGTGCCGGCAGCCATAGACAGACCAGCGCCAGGCATAGTTTGGGGAACACCACCGGTCGGGGTAGGGACGATTGTCGGGGGTGGTTGGAAGGCCTGTGAGACAGGCATGTTGCCGTCCTCCATGTTTTTGAAGTAGGTCTGCCACGAGATGTGGACGCTTGACGGGTCGTTCTTCCACGCCAGGTACATCTCGTCGATATAGTTTGCAGTGTTGCCTGAGAGGAAGGAATCATTGGGATCCTGTGGAGATCACACGCGATTCGCGCCAAGCAGGTCAGTCGGAACTATTTCACTTCACAGTATATGAATCCGAAAACATTATGTAGCTTACCACGCCCTTATTCGTGTCCTCCGCGGAGACGGCGTATGCTCTCCTGCCGTTGGACAAACGATCAACAACGGCGAGAGGTCGTCTCGTGGTCAAGCCAAATTTTGAGCTCTGGTTGGAAGAGGCATGTCTGGCAGTAGAAGCAAGAGAAATAGACCTCCTAGAGGCTGAGGAGGCAGCACCGCGCAGCATACCGCTGCCGGTGGCCTTGAGGGCTGTGGTACGAAGCATTGCGGGATTTTTTTTACAGCGTTAACAAGAACAAGGGATCACGACAAGAGAAGAGTTGGAAGCGCTTCTATTAGGAAGGCTCTAGAGTTGAAAAGATATAGGAATGCAAATCAAATATAAGAGGTCTAGTCCGTCCGTTAGCATATTTTTTTTTCTCGTCGACTGTTGTTGCCAGAGCTGCCGAGAATTTCAGACGGGCCAAGGGAAGGGCAGACGCACGACGTATCACAGAAAACAGGTGTCGACTAGAATTGCCGTAGCACCTGCACAGAAACCGGACTCATCAGAGAGCGCACGCACTCTGGATAGAAAAGATGATTTGGGGGAGAGGAGAGCTAGGTTGCAAAAGAACCTCGTGTCGGTAGACAGGAGAGAACAAGGAAGCAGGATCCTAGGAGTGAGAGAGGGTTTGCCGAGATCTACGGCTATGACGGGCTGTGGCTGTGGCTGGCTGCTTTCCTCTCTGCAGAAGCCACGTTGCTGACTCAACCACACACAGCCAAGCGGGCCGAAGTTACCGTCTGCGACCAGCGACGTACCGCCACACCTGGCCGGCCGGCTATGACCATTTCCCGGTACGGGTTTTTGCGGATGACCACGTCGGCTGGCCAATCAGGCATACGTCATTAGGTGATAGAAACAATCCGTGAACCAACTGAACCGTCCTGTAACCAAAATCATTCATTATATTGAAATAACTTCAAGCGGATCAGTCCGACAAACTCACTGCCAGAAGCATCAGACGCAGTAAATAGACACACATGAGGCAATCAATCATCTTATCATTAAAATAGTACAGATCTTCGCTTTCCGAGTCACATCTCAAAACATTAAAGTAGAATCGGTCAACCATAAGTGAGATAGAGGCATTATGTAAGTAATTCGAACTGGGGAAAAAAAAAAGCTATATATACCGCCGCAACGGCATGTCTATTGGTTGTAACTGTGATCCCGGGGCTCTGGAAGGGTCCCAAGCGTGCATAGTCCGCGGGGTTCATTCACCTTCAATACTGTTTTGTTGCTGGGAGAGGCTATGTGGTGGTCCCCACCTGTCAATTGGAGAATCAGTCGCGCTTGTGCCACCGAAGGCATCCGGAGGAGCATTGTAGACTGTTGGGCTCACGTCAGAAAGACCAGTGAAGCTTCCACGGTTCGAGGAAGGGTGCGGATGTGGAGGTGGACTTCCGCTACTGCTGCGGAGGCTTCCATTGCTCCCACCCCAAGCACCACGCCGGAGCCTCAATAACGCGCCGAGTGTCATTTCGTCCTCGATACTTCCCATGTCCACCAGTTGGGCCAAACCAGGGCTCGACAGTGGATTCGAGTGCGCCGCTCCGTGAGCAGCTAATGAGATGACCGAATTGCGCGTACTCCACTCGCTTCGTTCGGTGATGGGCGTTAAACTGGGCTCCCTGAATTTACCACGGCTGCTAAAGCTGCGGGTAATACCTTCAATGCCGCGCGGTCCAAAATACCCGCCATTGGTGAGCTCCGAGGTACAATTTCCATATGCCTGTGCATAGAATCCGAATTCCTGGCCGTAGAACCCTTCGTCATCATTCTCCAAAGCCTCCGCATTAGCAGCGGCAATGATAGGGTCATCATAAAGGGCAGCGCCATTGTCGTCGTAATCGAAATCATCAAATACGGACTCGACACCTACTACGTCGGCCAGCTGGCTCAAGCGACTGTCATCTGACACTAACCCCGAATGAGAATCCACGGTCTGCGTGATACTTTCATGGCCCAGAGACTGCTCACTAACACTGATGCTGCGTCCAAATCTGTCATTAGTGGTTGAATCATTGGCTGCTTTAGCCAGAGCATTGTGCAGTGCCTCGAGGTTGTGTTCTGACAACACACCTCCATACGACTTCGCTGGCCCTACGTCGGGTATATCTTCCTCCTCAAGGCCGTACCTCCTAGGGGCCACTTCTCGATAGTCACTCGCCATACTTGGGACATGCTTAATGCCGCCGTCGTATCCGCGTAGTCCATCACATTCATTTGGAACGTCTCCAATGCCAGGATTTGGTTCCTCCTGCCGAACAGAAGCGGTTCTTTGGGCTGCCGGCTTTCGGTCATACAGATGACTTGTTTCGTCGTCAAATATTGATTCATCAAACTTTTCGCCTTCGATGTCAGCGGTGAGATCGCCAAACTCTCCATCATCAAAATACAAGTCATCGTCTTCCTCGTCAACGAGTGGTGGTGATGTATTCAGATGAGTGTTAGCTGTCATTTGTGGGGCCATCGAAGAAGACGCAGTCTGCGGCTGCGGGAAGGCTTCCACTTCATGGTTGGAGGGTGTTTCGTTGCTCGAATGCACAGCTCCAGGTTCATACATAGAAGAGCTCCGGCTTATCTCTGGCTCAGGAGCCAAAGTTTGGTCACCTTGGGCGTTCGAGAAAGGGGCCATGCTCGGGCCAGTGGGACTACTTGGACTAGCAATTACCGGAGACAAGCCAGGGGCAAGCCACGAATTGTTCAAGATGTCCCCCGGCCCGGAAAAATCGTCGAAGTCATATTCCTCATCTGCATCAACGTTGACGCCTGGAATCTTCTCTTCAAGATCATCCATGTCGTCTATAAGATCATTATCGAAATCGTCATCTGCATCGCTAAATTCTCCTTCAAGTCGGGCTTTAGCCCTTCGTGCAGCTTCCTTCTCTTTATGTTTCTCTTCCAAGAGCTTCTCCTGCGTTGAAGATTCCACTCCATTCATATCAAAGCTGAAACGAGACGCGTTACTCTTGAGATGTTTTGGTAGGCCCAATGGTTGATGCGGTACTATCTCGACAGTGTCTGCATCCAGGGGCGCGCCGTCGTCTGCCGGTTCAATTTCGTGGCCTTTAGTAGACGCACTGTTACCGGTAACATGGGCTTCTCTATCAGGGTCTGGAAGGCTCGATGGTAGGTTCCGGGCAAAAACAGGAACAGATTTTGCATCACTTTCATGATGGGATGGGTTAGTTAACAGGGACGACTGTAGATAAGCCTTATTCTCAACCTGGAGTGCTCTCTGGTCTTCCTCAAAATGCTCTCTGAAGACAGGAGAGTATTCGCTATGTCTCTTTCTCTGGTCATTTACAGGGACTGTCAGATCGTTAGAGCAACTCTGTGTACCGTTTGCCGTTTGAGACGGTTCGTGCGAACTATGTCGGTTAGTCACGCCATGTAGTAAAACAGGCGCTGCGGACAGGTTCCGACGAGGCCGAGGAGCGGAGAAATCATGAACAATGTTCCCACGGATTCTAGGGTCATAGTCATCCGGTATGGCAGGGATTACGTTACGGGCCCTGATGTTCGCATCCTCCGCCCGGCCCGTTACCTGGGAAGAACGCCTTCTAGCCAAGAGAGACATGGGGTTCAAGAGATGAAGCATCGCCTTCCCCGATTTGTGGTGGACAGGCTCTGCAGAGACATCCCGATCTCCATGCCGGCGGCTAATTGTACTCTCATATCTGTGGTCCCTTCGCGGCGCAATTGTCCTTTCGGTGACAGATTCATCAGGGGGTGCCTTAAAGCGGGAATGGCCTGGTTGCGCCATATCGGGGGTGGATGAACGCTTCAGATGACTGTCGGAGGACTGTGAATGGGAGTTCAACCGTCCTTTTCCGAATGAGAGCCGGAAGGGCGAATTCGGCTTAGATGAGTCGCCTTCAACATGGTCTAGGCGCGAACCAGATGGCTGCGAGTAATTCGATTGTGGAGTTAGGGATAGATCTAATTCTCGTTCTTCGGGGCTTGAATGGGGGCGAACATCTTTATCGGAGGAGGCGGAGGGTACCGCAAGGGTGGCGGAAGAAGACGACGGAGCATTGATCGCAGCAGTAGATACGGCGATATTAGCTTTGCTCAAATCAACTTCGGCTTGATAATCGCTCGACACCTGAGTACCTGGTCCTTCCGAACTAAACGTAGTCGGCAGTGCCGTTGAATTAGGGATAACTGGGAGCTGTGGAACGTTGCTGGCGCCGTTAACCCTCGCCGAAGAGACGGGGGAAGCACTTGAGCGGCGATGATCGCGGCGCCAGTATGAGAAGACAGTAGAAGGCGGCATGATGAGAGTTGCGATCCAAGGCTCATAAGCACCCACAGTGCTTCTAGAAGAGCGCGCGCTCCGTTTAGAAACCACAAAATTCTTCCATAACGCTTGCAATTCTTTCGCACGCACCACGCTCTGCGGAGAAGATTACCACCAGGCGCGTGGGGCAAATTAAATTGGACTGTCTCACACGGACTCGGGCGGTGCGATGCAATGTTCACCACTAAGTACTTGGGTTTTGTCTCGGGGAAAAGATGGGATTTTAAAAATAGTAAGTGGTTTAAGTATAACTAAGATAAGAGTATGCGTAAGTATGTAATGTAGATCCGCGTCGACAAATTGTTAATCAATGTCAGTTGCTTTTTAAAGGCAAAGGGGGTAAATTGAAAAGAAAAAGGTACGTCAGGGACGGGAACAATATCTCTGTCCTTCCGAATGCGGACAATATTGGCCCTAACCGCTTTTCTTCACTGAAAGAATGTCTCAATGGTACTCGGCACTCCCCATGGAATTCAGCTGATACTAAAGGCAAAGGCACAAAAACAAAAAAAAAAAAGAAAGGAATCTCAGGGGGACCGGAAATGGTCTCGTTCCAAACAGGCCTGAATTGGCAGGCACTAAAAGCTTGGCATCCTTCGGGTTATGATAAGGATCCCCAGTGTAAAAGATGTCAAGGATAACAGAGCTCAGAGACAACAACAACAACATCACACCAAATCATTCATCTTGATTACTGAAGAGTAAAACAATGAGATATTATACATACTTGCAATGCAATGCGTTCGCTAATCTACAGGACACCGCAATGACCCATGCTTCCAATCATCATGAATAACAATATGCGCTCAAGAAACCTATCCATTCTTCAACCAACGCAGAGAAAATTAAAGATGTGGTAATAGTAAATAAGGAAATGAGAAATAAAAGGACGGCCCTATACTATACTCTGCCTCCATCGATCAATCATCTCACGCTGGCCCGTCTCGGCGCCTGGTCGTACGGCCTTATGTGGTGCAACATAGCTCAGATGATTCATTCCCAGTATAGCATCACTGTAAAATGTATTTGGGTGGACTGCTCCGTGCCCAAATGAATCGGTCCTTGCGGGTCCTTGGTACTGGGCATATCTCGGTGGTACCGGCTGTCCTGGGTGCGCCGAAAATTGGAGAGGCATTCGACTATCGTAGGGAGGTTGGTAGGTCGAAGTACGGTGTAATGCGGCCTCCCTGGAAGCCGGTCTTCCTCCAGCGGCCGGTCGTCGAGCATGAAGTAGGTCCGCCATGCTCCTTCGGTACCTAGGCACCTTCAGAGTTGAATTTCGTGACTCCGCTTCTTTCTGCAGACGTGCTCGGCGTTGAGCCAAGGTTTCCTCTTCTGGCGCCCCCTCGTCTCCTTTCTCCTTGTCGCTACCATTCATGTGGTCAACCTCCGCAAGAATCTCGTCGGCAAACTCACTTCCCGTTGCAGATTTACGGCGGTCCTTACCCTTCAAGCGCTTCAAGCGCTCGGCCAGGGTCTCCACTTCGTCGCCACTATCACCCCCGGCGGGCTCCTGTGCGTTCTGCACGTACATGGTAGTTGGACGGTTGTCAGGGCTGCGTGATGGAGGTGGTGGAGGTTCACCCCGCAGTCTCGCGCGGCGCCTGCTCAAGGGCTCGCTTTCTTCTAATTCGCGTCTCTCCATAAGACCCAAGGGCCTGTTATCATCAGTAGCAGTAGCCTTCTCGGGGAAAAGCATTCCAAGGGGCACATCATCATCATCGCCATCATCGCCTGGCTTGTTGACATCGGGATCTTCCCAGGCAAGAGTAACAGGCCGATGCCTCCTATGTTCACTCTGCTTCTGAGCAACAGCATCAAGCTGAAGGAGCGTTGAATGCAGTCCTACAGAGTTAACGGCAGTCCGCTGTCGTTGCCGCAGCTCGTGTTTTCTCATTTCAAGCTCCGCTAACAAGGTAGAAGGAGGCCCTGTAAATGGAACTTCTTGTTCGTTGTTTTCTTCCCCATTATCCTTAAGGGGATCATGCTCAACATCATCTCCGTCATGAGCGCCTTCACGTAATGAGGTACCCTCATGTATGTCTGCTGCATCGGCTTCTGTTTGGTGGTACACGTGATGTGACGCGAATGAACTTGCTCTAGCATCCGAGTCAGAGGAGGGATGGTCGACTCTGAGGGTACTCCTTGACATGTGTTTCTTCTTCTGCGCCGCCAAGTCTTTAGATGACGCCTTGTGTTTGGCATACACTTCTGAACCGACAGGGCCAGCATACGGGTGGTCCGTGAAAGCAGTAACCGGCGCATTTGTTGAGGCATCGAGAATGCTGTCAAGTGTCGCAACGGCGGAAGCCTGTTTTACCTCTACGTCAAGTGGTGTGGCGGGTTGTTCAAAGAAAACACTAGCACGAAGCTGCGGAGGTAGATCCGCTGGCGGCCTCTCACGCTTGAGATCATTTGCATCGCCTAGAGCCTGACTAGACAGCCAAGGAGCCGATTTTCGGTTTTCGGCAGTGACTGAGCCAAGCAACTGCGTCCGACGTTTTTCTCGTTCAGGGTTAGGCTTCTGTGATAGCCGCGGTGGTAAATTAAGCATCATAGGCACCGGAGCGGGATAATAAACCATATTCTCCCCCGTCTGCGGCTCCTTGTACGACTCCGGTCTGCTCGCCAAGGGCGGCCTTGTCAAAGATACTTGTCGCCCAAGGTCTTGGCCTTTGTCGTGGGGAACATAATGCACGCCATCAAAGTCGGTGAACAGAACTCTGGCCTGTTGGAAGGTGTCTCCTGACGCAGCCGAAGATGGTCGTTCAATTTCATCCGGGGTGTGATTGTACTGACCATAGTAGGCAAAGTCGGGCTCTATTGGAACAGGTGGTTGCGGAGGGAGGGTAGAGTCGTTAGAAGCGTGTATCATCGATTGGGCGAATCTTTCTTCGGGCATATGTTCGGAAACTTGGGCCAATCGAGATGCGGACATAATTGACCCTTGGCTGGATGGCACCGTTCCCTTCATGGGGTTGCTTTCACGCACGGAATTGGAGACTGAGCTGACCGAGCGTCTCTTCTGTTCACGATCCATCTTGCGAATTTCGCTGCCAATATCCGCCGAGCTCGAGCTGAGTTGTTCGGCACTCCTTTCCAGTCTCTCTACATTATTCAAATAGGCACCTTGCAGCGATTGAAGGTCCGGGGTAGGATGGCTGAGAGGAACGGGGGTATCAGTGATCGGGGATCGCAGGGGAGGTTCAGGGGAGCCGGCGTGGGCAGCTCTAGTGTCTAGCGGCGCAACGCGACGGAGACTATTAGACCTCCGGTTTGTCGGAGGATCGGCGATGTCGTAGTCATCTTCCTCAACCATGTCATAGCTTGTGGAGGTCATGGACCGGATCAACGAACCTAACCGACCCATGCTGGAATCCTCGGCAGTTTTGGCCGGCTGCAGATAAGTGCCTCCACCAATATGATCGGCATCCAAAGGAAGTTGTTGAAAGGTCGGTTTGTGTGGCGACGGGCTTCGGGAGACATCAGAATCGGTCGCGTTGGAAGCCACCTCGTGGTCGGCTTGAGAAACGGCGTTGTACGCCATTATGAGATGTGGTTGAGGATGGCAGGGCGCAATCAAGGGCCATCAAGTGAAAAGCACTTTGTCGTGTGATCCACCAAAAAATCAAAATCAAAAGAGGGGAAGGGACTTAGGAGGTCTTCCGAGGGAGAGATAAGGCGGGAGAGGCCTTCCAAGACCAAGGGTATCGCAATGAAATCAGACGTTAGGGATAAAAAGGAAGGGAAAGGGAGCTTTTTGGGACACAAGATGAGAAATAAAAAGAGGGAAGATAAGCAGGTGCGAGAAGACAAAAAAGAAAAGAAAGAGAAAAAGAAAAAGAAAAAGAAAAAGAAAAGAAAAAAAAAAACATGGAAAAGTAGGATTAGGATGACGGATTCAGATTAACTACTCTAAAGACGTGCAAAAACAGGGCAGGAGAGTTGTCATCTCATACATAGTACAGTACCAATACCTACTGCTGGATGGTGAACGGAATTGGTTGTGTGTGTGTGTGTATCACTGTTAGTATGTATGTACCTATTTTTGTGTATGGTCATTGGAATGTATCCACCAACTGGAGGTCCCCCTTATACGACCCTTAAAGGATAGTTAGTAAATAGTAATAGTATTGTCCATTCTTGTCAAATTTCCACCGTTGGTTCCTTTCGCACATTTTATTTTTGTTTTTCTTTTTTCTTTTTTAGGTGAGCTAAATTTGGAACATGAGGGGAAAACAGACTAAATTATCCGCCACCATGTTTAAGTGCATCCAACCCTATTAAGCACAGTGACAACAAATATCTTTACATCTCCTGCACTTTGAAATGCAAAAAGGAAATTAATCTCGAATCGTAGTACTAATTTACAACCCTAACCCTATATTGGCAGTTAATCACATTCACACGCACTAAGCTTGTCACCTTTGCAGGGACTGCCTGCTTGCAGATGATGAATATTTGTAAAATCTGATACATCAGGCAGTAAATACCAGATGTAGCATTTATTTAACTTCAGATCGACCATGAATCTGAGTCAATAATCAGCTCCTAATTTGAGAGTGCAGAAATATACTAGCACGACTATTAATTACTTCTCATTACTTGTCTTATCCTCCGCACTACGCTATCGTACTGCGCCTCGGTCCTGCAGGACAATTAGTAGTGGAAATGTTTAACTCAATGAAGTGTCTCACCAATTTTGTATAGTAAAAACTAAGCATATAACAGATTGAAACACTTCATATATAAGATACACTCAAGTCGAGAGTAGGATATCGAAGGATACTGATGGCAGACTGCATCTGGATCTCTGGGAATGTTCCTGGATGCAGTAAATCCACTCGGAAGTAGCGGCTTGGCGCTAGTGAATTCTGGAAATTCCATGTTCTAGACCCTTTCCTACTTGAACTTGTGTATTTGCTTGACTCCACTGGACCCTTTTCAATCGTTCCCTCTTTCAAAATACTTTAACA